TCATTCCCACAGACACTCTGTATGTTGTTATTTCTCTTCCTTTCTATCAATTATACTTATTAATTTGTGTTTATACCTGAACGGCTTAATTATACTTATTATTGCATATTAAAATTTTTGGTTCAACTTCTGGTCAGGTTATGTAAAAATGAAAATGCTAATGTAACCTTCCACATATCTCCAAGTTTATTTTCTGTTCTACTATTCAATCATTTCTGTATACTAGATACTAGGACTTGCATATCAATATCTTGTGTTAGGACTTATTTTCTGTTATACTATTCAATCATTTCTGTATACTAGATACTAGGACTTGCATATCAGTATCTTGTATTTAGGACTTCCTCCCTTTTTTTGTTCATACTTCCATTAGTAAAACTAGGTCATCATATTTTACCTTTTCATTCCTTTCCTCAACAATAAAGCCTGAATTTTAGGCTTTTAAATATTATAGACTTTAAGCATCAAACCTACTTCACATAATGGATTTAGGCTTTGCTGATAGTGTTGAAACATCGTCATCCAATAATGCAATGTTGTTTTGAGATTAGATAGAGTGAGGTTGACTTTAGTCTGCTAGGGAATATAATGTGATCATCATTTTTTCTATCAAATGGATAGTAAAATGGACATACTGCTGGAAGCCATTCCCAAACAGTGACATTTGGATGATAATCATCACATTCCAATCACTGCAAGCATAGCATCTTAATTCTTTGCAATATGAAGTTGTGTTACATAAAAATGAATTGGAGGAGTATCAATTTGGTTAAGAAGTGTACTTTAAGCCTCAATCAGAATCTTTTATACACTGAATTCTGATATTTGACATCTTTCAAACAGGTACGCAATAGTTTGTGATCTGAACAGTCATTCAGCCATTGAACGTCTTCGTAGGTAACTTACAGGAAATCTCTCTGTTAGCGTAAATTAATGCTTTACATTTCTTTCTCGGGTCCCATGATGACAATGTCCATTTCTTTTTCGTTTGTTCTTTTGGCCAGAATAAAAGAGATAGAACCTTCAAAGGCAAGTTGCATTTATGTTGCTGAACTGAACCATTGCATCAGATAAAGCAACCCAGTGGATGCTGGATCTGATTCAATTTATTTTTTGTTTCCTTCCCTGCCTATGTACCTCCATATTTGTCACTTGCACTGCCCTTTATGCTGTCTTCTTTACAATCTTTTATGATTTTACAGCCCCTTAGTATCATTTGTCGATCTTTCCGCGACATAGATACATATACAACTGGATTTCCCCGTGGTAATGCCCAAGGTCTTACAGACATTTTTCGAGCAGTCAAGCACTGTCTACCCGGTCCTGTAAGTATGCGTAATGTGTTTTATAGACGATTATTGTGCTGTAAATTGTTAATAAATTTACCAATTCATGTGCTGTAAATTTTTAATAAATCTGGTATACGTATGTCGGGAGTATCGGAAGTCTAGTGATATCCTAGAGTCGAATTTCTTCATCAGGTTTTACTATGTGGTATGAGAATTTCTTTCGCTACTTAAATTCCTTGTTGGTCGTCGACTTACTTCATGCTTATTTTTTCCTTTATTCTTTCCGGGCAGGGTGGGTGGGGTGGGGGTGCGTGAGGTGACCTTAAGATCGTTTGACTCTTTAAATCTTTGACATTTTGGGTACCCAGGTCTGAGTAGTCCTGTAGATCTCTTGATACTGACAATGTACCTAAACTACTAATCACCTGTGTGGCAGTACACTTTCATCTTAACTGCTAGCAAACAGCTACCAAAACAATGCACGAGATACGGGACTGCAACTTCCAAATATGCTTCAAGGAAAAATGTTGGTGTTCGTATACCTGATGATCCTGTCTGTCAAGCAATCTTAGAAAAGTTGGATGGACCTCTAATATCCACAAGGTATTCTGACATCCCAGCATAGGGAAAATGAGTAAACTGTTTTTGCACAGTTGCACTTCTGTTTTGGGCATACATACCTAATGATAGTTTTCCTGATTTGGTTCAGCGTCAAGTCACCTAAGGAGAATGAGTGGATACTGGATCCCGTCATTATAGCTGATGTATATGGTCTAGAGGTACTATTCCACCAAAGATTTCGCTGCTTTAGGCTGCTTTTGGTACTTGCAATTTGCAAGCAACCCCATCCCCTTCTTTTTTGCATTTAGAGATCAACAAATTTTTGTATTTCCCTTTGTGTGTTATGTGTCTCTTACATATGAATCTGTTATTGCTGCAACTCGTAAGTTGGATATGCTTAATTCTTTAAATTTAGCTCCATTTCTTGTACATGTTTTTCTTTTGTCTTAGATCTGTATGTCTATATTTGGTGTCCTACATGTTTTGCGTGGTCAGTGCCCTGTCCTATTGTGGTCACTCTTTGGTTGAAATGTTATATGGTGGATTGAGTTTCTCTCTGTTTTCTGCTTTGGTTATGTTAGGGACTTGATTTTGTTGTTGATGCGGGTGTTCGAGTGGCTGATCCATCTACTGTAGTTGATATGACTGAAAGTGCTCCTAGAATTATACGGCAGGGAAAGGTAAACTCAGTATTGTGGTTTCGGGACCTAATCTTAGCATTCTGTTTGCCTACATGATTGCATATGTTTTAAATTAGTGAAAGCGGGCTAACAATTTGCTATGAATTTACATTCTCAAAAAAAAAAAAACAATTTGCTATGAATTCCAATTTGGTAAGTATGGTGACTCAGCTGATTCAGAGTGCATACACATAATATCCAATGAATTATGTGTCAAATTAGAGTCTAATACACATAGCCTGATAGCTCTTTATAATGAAAAAAACCTTGCCGCCTTATAGCTTCATAAGCACCTTCATCAGTGACAACTGCAATCGGGTTGGTTTTCTGTGTTGTATAAGAGTCTGGCAATACATAAAAACTGTAATTTAGACAAAGCTGCCAAAGATATGACAATAGAAGAATGCTGCTCGCCTTGTGCTGTACATGATTTTGTTTCCCAGATGGAGAGACTTGCTTGAGCAACCACATCAAAATTTACAAAGTAAATAAAATACTAAACTGGTACATGTGGTCAAGAAATAATCAATCTGGATTGTAGAAGAGCGTCTCAATACCATAGATACATCATGTTGAAAGGAGAAAACTGCTTAAGTAAGTGCCAGCAAGCATTAGTACCAAGTTGCTGTGTCAGAAGGATGCAAGGTTCATGAAACGGTTAAAATGCAGTTAGTAAACATATCATATAGACGCAATTGCGACAAGCTGTGGAGATTCCAGATACCAGTTTATGCATTGTAGGAGAAATAACATGACTGGAAATTTATGGCATAGTGCTCTTTAAAAAGTGATTTGCTTCAAAATAATGATCGGAAAATAGTTCATGACCGACTGGTTTCTGTCCTTCATCCATTTCTGTATTCATAATAAAACTATGGTTGATTTGTTTACTGGTAAGGTGAATAAGTTAATAACCATGAATCAACTTTTTCTCTCTTCTCTCTTGTCAATTCTCTGAATTAGAATGTTTGCGTTTATATGATGATCCGCTTTGTTTTGCTTGTTTACATTTGTTCAGGGTCCTAAGCTGCCTTGGATGATAGCGGAAGATGCTGATTCAGCTGTAGATGAATAGAACCCATTGTTGCCGCTGTTTAAGTAAGAAGTACTGCTTAAAATGTACACTTCCTCAAGCCAGAGCTCTTGTACAGCACACAGATAAGATGGTGAATCCCTTGTCAATCTTGAACAGAGTCTTTTAGTCTTCATTAGTGTAGATTGCTGTAAATACATAATGTGGTAAATCAAGAATCACATGTAATGTTTTGCTTGTCTGAACTCTAAAGCATGTAATGATCACTCTCTCTCATTCCCTGCCCTCTGGTGATTTCTATTGCGTTTCTCCTGCAAGCTCCTTCGTGAAAACTGTGGAAGCCTTGTCCTGCCAGAGCGCCATGCCTCTATTTTCTTTCTCGTCGTGTAGTGAAGGGAGAAGTCTCTGCTCTAAGTTCTATGGTCTATGTCGAGGGGTGGGGAGGGGTTCTATTTGGTTTCAATTACTGTAACTGTTTCTGATCAATTGAAAGGTTGAAATAACTAATGTTTGATATTTTTATAACAATCAAGTTGGTTGTGATTAAAGGAATTAATTTAATATTTTCTAAAGTAATTCTTACCGTAACAGTAATATTTTATCTTCATTTTCCTACTTTGGGTACTACTCCTATATATTTCTAGTGGAGAAGGAAAGCTTGATTGGTTTTTATGTTGTATAATAGAATGATCTTTTATCCGTTTGAGTAACGAAACACATTGCTACTAAATGATGACCTCCTTTCCTTTTTAATCTGTTTAAAAAAGAATGACCTCTTTCCTTTATTTGTAACATTTTAATTTCAGCTTTCCATGTGGCATGTTTAAAGCTACAAGATTGAAGGGAAATTTAGTACATTTGACATAGCTTTAATTTAGGAACATAAGATTCAAAAGTCTTCTTTATTTTTTAAAACTTCGTGTCAAACCAAATCAGGTCACTCTTTGTGAAACGGAGGGAGTAGTATGATTAAAGATTAAACTGTATAACAATTGAGATACAAATAGACTTGAACTGGCACATGAAATGACTTTCTTTTTCAGAAGTATTGAGGATTTTCTTTTCCATCTAACCCCATATAGAGAATTATTTCTGATTTTGGAAAAGAAGTTGGTAAAAGTTTCTGTAATACCGAACGTTTGGACAAATGAATTGCACCAAAATTTACCGCACAAAATGCAAATCGTACGATGCACGCTTTAGAGAAAAGATAAAACTGAATATTGAAATATTTTAATAATGGCGGCAAAATTTGAAACTCGAAATTTTGTGGTCCATTAGTTTAGTCCCCAGCCAGTTGGATTATGTTCATTCTCCCGCAAGCTTCTCCTAAAAAAATTCAAATACCGCGCTCACTGTTTTTAATTGAAACCTAACACCTTTTGCCTCTGCCGTCTTTAAATATCTTCACATTCCCCACCATTTTTCTCAAGCAGCCATCTCTACTAAACCCTAGATTTTCTTATCCAATTTTCAGAAACAAAAATGCCTCTTATCCCAGAAGAGCCTTTGCTCGCCTCTAACCCAGATCGATTCTGTATGTTCCCAATTCAGTATCCACAGATTTGGGAAATGTACAAGAAAGCCATGGCATCTTTCTGGACGGTAGAAGAAGTCGATCTATCTTCTGATAATCGTCACTGGGAAAACCTAACATCCGGTGAAAGACATTTCATCACTCATGTGCTTGCCTTCTTTGCCGCCTCAGACGGCATCGTTTTAGAGAACCTCGCTGGAAGGTTCATGAAAGATGTCCAGGTTGCTGAGGCGCGTGCTTTCTATGGGTTCCAAATCGCCATTGAGAATATCCATTCCGAGATGTACAGTTTGCTGTTGGAGTCGTACATAAAGGATTCTGACGAAAAGAGCAAATTGTTCCGTGCAATCGAGACCATCCCTTGTGTTGAAAAGAAGGCGAAATGGGCCCTTCGTTGGATCGATGGTTCCGAAACCTTCGCGGAGCGCTTGGTGGCTTTTGCTTGTGTTGAAGGGATTTTCTTCAGCGGAAGCTTCTGTTCGATATTTTGGTTGAAAAAACGGGGGTTAATGCCTGGATTAACCTTCTCAAATGAGTTAATTTCAAGAGACGAAGGTTTGCACTGTGATTTTGCGTGTTTGCTTTACAGTTTGCTAAGGACGAAGCTAACTGAGGAGCGAGTCAGGGGAATTATTGCAGATGCTGTGGAGATAGAAAGGGAGTTCGTGTGTGATGCTCTTCCTTGTGCTCTGGTGGGGATGAATGGAGATTTGATGAGTAAATACATAGAATTTGTCGCTGATAGATTGTTGGATGCTTTGGGTTATGACAAGATGTACAATGCTCAGAATCCATTTGATTGGATGGAGCTGATTAGCTTACAAGGGAAGACTAATTTCTTTGAGAAGAGAGTTGGGGAGTATCAGAAGGCCTCTGTTATGTCCAGTTTGAATGGTAATGGTGATACCCATGAATTCAAGCTGGATGAGGACTTCTAAATTTAGTATTCTAGCTTCTTTTTCTTATTTTTTTAAAAATATCTTGGTATAATTAGATTTATGTTCTTCAGTTATATAAGTTCGTGTCTCATTAACATCAGTATAAGTATTGTAATAATTGGTTATTATGTTGTTTGTCCATTGTCCCAGTATGAAACGTGCTTTTACAGCACTTCACCAATTATTACAGTTTCCCTTTTTAATTCTTTGGATGTTCAATTCTTCTGAATTGATATGATGAAACCAACCTATTCCCTATTGTTGGAAATTCTGCAACTTTAACTGAATCTCTGAACATACTAGGTTTCAGATTTAGTGATATTCTAGGAACAAATCCACCAATCAATCATTCAATCAGGTTCATTTTGTTCCAGCACACCAAGTAACAGATCTACCTAGAAAATTGGGTTTGCTAAATTCTGAGGTGAATGATTGGGCTAGAGTAACAGAAACTTTCTCAGATATTGAATCTTTTCACAAAGTTGGATAATTTAGCCCCATCATGATCATTGGGCTCTTTGACTGCGCAACACGAATTCCTCAAATTCAAATGCTAATGCACCCATGGGAAGGAGTGCATAAATTTTCACAAGAAACTTAAATGATATATAACAAACCAAATAATTGGATTAATATTTGCTAATTGCTATAGTATGAAAACCACAATCTTTTCTATGATTGATTAACTAGTAAAATTTGACATGTTTGGGCATGATAGGAGAAAAACTTAGTTCTCTTGATTGCAGCCACCAGAGGTGTGACAACCTTTGACAAGACATCCAATAAATTTTGAGCATGCAATAAAGAGCAGTGGTTAACATGTTGGAACCATCATCACATTGTGTTGTAGCCAATGTCTTGCAGGCAAATGCTCGAAAATCAGCTTTAAATCATATCTTTCATAACATGAGCCAGACATTTTCAGGTGCTTCAAGATTCCATTGGCATGCCACTAGTTTTTTGTTCCACCAGTTGAGGTGACTGGTCCTCTCTGCCGATTAACAGCACGAGGCACAAATGACAATCCACGAGCCCTACTACGGCCAAAGCTGATTGCTGAAGGAGAGTCTGAAGTGGTTAATTTCGATACTGCTGAAACGAGATTGTCTATTGTTTCTTCCTCAACTTGCATTGCACTTGACGTCTCCCGAGTCTTATTCGATGCTTGTTTATGATGCGGTTTCTGCCTCTGTTTCTTTGATGGACGAGCTTTTCTGAAGAACTCATAAGATGCTGGAAATTTATGCTTGTCAACTAGATGTTGCTGCCTGCTTTTGTAGCTTTTCAACTTGACATCACAGCCTTCCACCAGGCACTCATACTACAGGACAACGAGAATTTCAGTAAATAGCTACATCCAGACATTTAAAAAAGATCGTAACAGACAGTGTTACTCATAACTCTCTTTGAACAGACTAAAAACATACAAGTGCATGCAGACTTCATATATACATGACCAACCACAATCAAAGAGCCAATTCTGCAACAAAGATTCATGCAGCTTATAGTTTATTTATTTTTTTACAATTTTAAAGATGCCTTAAAGGTATTTTAGAACACCTATCCTGTTGGTTTTCTTCTGTTTATCAGCCTTGAACCCTTGACCTAGTGGTCAGGAGTAAACTCCTCAACCACTAAGATCAAGAAGGCCGATAACATGCAGCTTATAAACTTGGAAAGACAAGCAAACTTCTATCTCCTTGGGAAGGGATTGGGCAAGATGATGCAAATTCAGGATGGGTTATGTATAAGCCACACAGGAACCCAGACGATGCACATAAACTGTTCACGTATGTTCCTGCACAATCCCTTCAGCTATTACCTTAACAAACAGGAACTGCATGCTACATTTAGAATATACATGAAAAGGAAGAAAGTTGAATCAACAAAATGGCATGATTCACCAACTGATGATCTGTTTGTTGAATCATCCAATTCATGCTCGCTCTTAAAATAGACTATTCACAATATAAATAGAGAATCAACAAGAACTGTCATTTGCCAGAGAACTCTTCTTTCGATAATAAATCAATACCCTCAAAAGAGATTTCTTAAATAAACAATGGCTGGAGAATTCAGACTACAACTTTTCTTTGAAATAGAGAGAAGAAAAAAATTATACAAGATTTAAAGTTGGTACAGTCTTAATTCTCCAGCCATTGTTTGTTTTAGAAATCTCTTTTGAGTGCAAGGGTTGATTTAGTATCGAAAGAAGTGTTTTCTGGAAAATGGCAGTTCTTGATGATTCTCCATTTATAGTATGGATATTCTATTTTTTAGAGCGAGCGCGAATTGGATGATTCAACAAACAATTCATCAGTTGTTGAATCGTGTCATTTTACTGATTCAACTTTCTTCCTTCTCCGGTATATTCTAATATCACTCTTTCAGTGTTTAAACAGTGCAAGGGGCTTTGCCTCATTTTCTATGGGACATCCTAAAGAAAACTATGAGATAAAATGTTACCATGGGAAAGCCCCGAGAAGCTTTTGCCTGAAAAAAGGAATCATGAGCCTCTGACACATGTATGCTGAGCAGGCGTGATGTTGGGTAAACTCGAGAGCAGAGCAAGATGCAGTATGTCGTGTAACATAATGGTCTTCAAAGTCATCCAGATTTTTCATCTGTGCACCACAACCAATGATTGGACAGAAGAGATTGCTGTCAAACATTTAATCAATTTTATCAGAAATTAGTATTGTATTAATAGATTTCCCAAAAATTTGTTATAGTAAACAAACCCAGAAATCACCTCAAGATTGACAGAAAAATAACAAGTTAAGAATATTACATCCATTAAAAAAATAACAAGTTAAACAATACATAATTAGGATCTTGATATTTTACAGTAATAAAGAAGAAAAAAGAACCTCAGCACCAGTAAATGCAGGTGCAAATGAGCACTATAACATATTGTGGCTAGGCCAAGAAGATCTGAGAAAGTGATATATTGATTGTATCACATAGTGAACACAAAACTAGGTCATTATTCAATCTATGCAAAACTGCCTGCAAATCAATATCCTGACTAGTACCAGAAAGTGGAAACCGATATATTGTAAAGTTAGCTTCTAGTAACTAGTCCAACTTCTCTTTTGTACTTGAGGCTACAAGCAAACACATTAAAAGCACAGATTTGTTTCACTCTTTGAGAAAATACATAAGTGCTATTTCCTCAATCTCAACAAAAAGGGAAGAGCACTCTGATTATGAACATGATCCTGAATTCTGTTAAAAAATCCTTCAACATTATAGTTTAATGTCACTGTCTTTTGATGTTTCTCAGTATATAAACCTGATAAACTATGGAGGAGCTTCAATAGGTATACCTGATTTCCTCATCTGTGATAGTATTTTGAACTAACTGGTTCTCTTCTTCAGTCAAATCCAATGCAACCTGGAAATGAAGAAAAAGAGAGTGAACAGATAGATCGTAAGTTCAAATTATGGAGAGGATAGAGAGGAAGGAGAAGGAACGAACCTGCTTAGCGAGAAGCTCTCTTTGAATGTTACCGTAAGCGAAGAAGGGATCATCAGGACCAAAACGTCGACGAGTTGGGCTCCAGAACGGAAACCCTAATTGGGTTTGCGTTTCAAACTCCATCGCCATTAATTTTGAATTTCATTCCCTACCTATGCTTTTGCTGTTTTGCGTTTCCCCAACTTGAACGTTTTTTCCTTTCTCGAAAGTCCTAAAATATTTTATACAAAAATAATAATAATGTAAAGTTAATTTTGCAAATGTAGGTGATCTTTTATTACATTCTCCGTTTAAAAAGAATGACTTTTTTTTTTTCTAATATTTTAATTTCAACTTTCCACGTGGTATGTTTATGACCACAAGATTAAAGGGCAATTTTGTTACATTTGACATAACTTTAATTTAGGACCACAAGATTTAAAAGTCTTCTTTATTTTTTTAAAACTCCGTGTCAAGTCAAATTAGATCATTCTTAGTGAAACAGAGATAGTACATTATTTTGCCCCCTTCTCTTCATATTCTCTGTTTGGATATTGATGCACATATAGGAATCTGCCTAAACCCCTCAATAAAAGTGAAATTACAATAAGAAAAAAATGTTTTTTTTATGTTATGCACGCTAATTTGATGGCCTTATACACGTAATAAGAAAAAACCCTGTTATATCAAGAAATAGAGTCGTTGGATTAGGGGAAATATAATTGGCAAGTGGAATTGCCAGAAGATGCACCTAAGCAACATTTTTCACTCTAACAAGCCAGCTCACAATTCATTGAGACTCGAAAAATAATCACATAGCCCGCCTAACAACTTTTTTACACTATTATCACAGTTTAATTTCGTTTTATTTTTCAAGTTTGAGTTAAATTTTGCGTGATAATATACCGTCAATGCGTATACGCATGACGAAGCAACAAAGTACACAACGAAGGTGCATCCCAGCTGGGTTCTCAAGATTTTGTCAATAGATACATACAACCCCATATATTATTAATATTATTGTAGTTGCTATTGCAATGGGAGGATAAACTAATAGCTCCCACATTTGTCTCTCCCGGATCCCCAGCTGCACTGCACAATTTTTTATTTGAAAAACAAAAGTCATTTACTTGAAACATTGTCCATCAATGGCTTGAGGTTGGATGAATTATTTGATTTATTGTGTTGGAGATGCCAAGTCAATTTAATTACGTATGCATTTAGTGATTTAGAGGAAAAGAAAAATATACTACATATCTAGCTTGTTATTTTATCTCGCAATTGCCTTTTTCCAAATATGAATCATTTTTATTATTGTTATTTGATTAGTTAATGTGTCATTGTCTAAGTCTCAATAACTTGCTAGGTGGGAGTAGATCACATTGGATTGCAACTAGAAGAATGCACCATCACCAAACAACAGCGTTGAATATTGCTAATAAGAGTATATAATATATTTTAAACACAGTATTAACACGCAATCACGTAAACAATTAGCACAATTATTCAACTAAAATACTCCCAACTTTAAGAAGTAGAATTTGATTTAATATATAGTTGAAATTTACTTTTCCCTCAGCCGTCAGATCTGACCTGGACGCATTCTTCTGTGTGTTTGATCGATCATCCATAATTGCTTTACATTTTCCATCAGGACACAAGTTTAATATAAATGAGAAGAAAATTAGAATTAATATCTTATACTTAAGAGACTAAGGCAACGTACATGAAGTATGAAGATGGAAATAGTCACGTGGAAGTAGTTAATTGGGTAAGCTGCAATATAATAGCTGGCGCACCGTCCACCCACCACGCTCATCAAATAAACAACAAATTAGTCACTATTCAATGTTCACATCAAACTATATTAATTTACTACATACTTATATACTCGTTTAAAAAAAAAAAAGAGAGACGTCGTGTTTGATGGGTTCAGTAAAAACACTGTACTGTATGTGGGAAAGTTTTTCCACTCATCCAGCTAGGACAGACTTGGAACAAGTATAACGACCTGTAACAATCAGTGAAACAAGAATCAGCCTTCATTTACCTTCCTGATTACTTTTCTTCTACTAGTATATATATGTATATGTTTGTTCTGCTACTACAATTCATTGGATGGTAAAGGGAGAAAAGTAAAAGAGAGAAAAAAAAAGGATCAATTTTTTCATCAAGAAAGTGAAAAATGGAGAGATTGAATGTGTTGATCTTGGCAATCATAGTGATTCTTGGCGGAGCTGAAGGGCAACTAGTAGAGAACTTCTATGGTTTTACTTGTCCTAATGTGGAATTCATAGTTCAGCAAGCTGTGTCTATAAAGTTCAGCCAGACTTTTGTCACTATTCCAGCGACTTTGCGTCTCTTTTTCCATGATTGCTTTGTTGAGGTAATCTTCTGCAACAATTTCTCTCTAGAATTAATTAAGCTGTTACTCATGTCGCAGTGTCCCAAGTTAGTTCTTTGAATTATGGTTTAAGTTTTAGAACAAGCAAGAATAATTATTATTTCTTAACATACAAGAGATCAAGAGACTTATTCTATACTTTGAATAGCTGCTACCACCAATATTCTGGTCCTGTTTTGGTGGGCAGCAAAAAATTTGACATTCTTCATCTTCCCAAAATTGTTCATTTCTAGTCTCTTTTGCACATTTCCTCAGGGATGTGACGCGTCTGTTATGATAGCTTCACCAAATGGAGACGCGGAAAAGGATTCCAAGGATAACCTTTCCCTTGCAGGAGATGGCTTTGACACTGTGGTAAAGGCAAAACAAGCCGTAGAGGCTCAGTGTCCTGGAGTAGTATCATGTGCAGATATCTTAGCTATCGCCACTAGAGACGTTGTAGTGCTGGTAATCGAGGACACAGAAACCCCTTTCTTTTTGCTTTGACATTTTTCTTTCTCTTCATTTACCATACACTTGACTTGTTCATTTCAGGCAGGGGGCCCTTCATACAATGTAGAATTGGGACGTCGTGATGGGCTCATCTCCCAGGCATCTCGGGTTGCTGGAAAATTGCCAGAACCTGACTTCAATCTCATTCAACTGAACACTATGTTTGCCAGCCACAATCTCAGCCAGTTTGACATGATAGCTCTTTCAGGGGCTCACACACTTGGCTTCTCTCATTGTGACCGTTTTGCAAACCGTCTCTACTCATTTACCCCATCCAACCCTGTTGACCCTTCTTTGGATCCAGAATATGCTAAAGAACTTAAGGATATGTGCCCTCAAAATGTAGATCCATCCATCGCTATAAACATGGACCCTGCGACTCCACGAACCTTTGACAATGAGTATTACAAGAATCTGGTTAAAGGAAAGGGTTTGTTCACCTCAGATCAGGTGCTCTTCACTGATGAATCTTCTCAAGGCACTGTTAGTGATTTTGCTAATAATGCTTTCGACTTCAATGGAGCTTTTGTCACTGCAATGAGAAAACTCGGAAGGGTTGATGTCAAAACTGGTGACCAAGGTGAAATAAGACTGGACTGCACCAGGTTCAACTCATGAGGTCCATGTTCTACCTTCAACGAAAGGAAAAAAAATGCTATTTTGTAAATCCATGTTATAAAGTCCGAAGAGTGGAAATAGTTTATTGTTGTTTTTTGGCAATATTTGATGTAATTGGATTAAATAAATCACGTGTATAAGGTCTAGAGATTGGATTTCTTTCGAGTTTTGCAATCATTCTTGTATTGGACACTTAAATGAATCCAACCTCTGTGTTACTGAATTCAGTTTTGACTTCAACATGGTTGCACCTGGTGCAATAATTTACATCTTCAACATGGTTGCACCTGGTGCAATAATTTACATCATCAACAAGCATGAACTTTAGTCAATTTTATGCATGTTAATCTACTTGGGTTTTCTGGTAATTGTATTTAGGTAGATGCCATCCTATAGCATTAGATATCATAATTTATGAATTTCTTCCAAATATAGCGAGTTGTCAATGTCACTGGACTAGAACCTATGCATTGTGCAGCGTAAAGCCATTTACGATCAAAAGAAAAATAATGAACAATCAATAAATGAAATGGTTGACAACCAAAATGTAACAATTTCAAGTTTGAATGACAAGGGAAATATACACCAATCAAAAATTGCAATACAAACATTTATCTCACATAAATAGGAAAACCTTCTAAGAGCAAAAAAAGGTAGCTTTGCCATCTCCATTGTCTTGCTCACATTCTGGAGGAAGTGTTCTGGTTATGGCTAACAATGTCACCTCAACGAAATGCTCTTAGATCCATAAGCTGGTTGAGAGTATCTGTGCAAATTACTCAAACTTCTATCCAAGCTTCCACTTGCCGGATGAATTATGTACGAGATTTTCCGTAAAGACTAGTGTATACAGTCTTTGTTCGGTAAACCAGAATCATGCTTAGAATAGAAGCAACGATGCAGAGTCCACAAAGTATTAAGGAAGTATAGAAGAAGCATATGGCACCTTCACACTTTAAAGGTTCATCCACAGCTAGAAAACTTGATAAAAAAGATGCCCCATTCCATTGGCCGGGATGACGCTGTTGAGCTTGCTTTTCAGCTTCACTATCATATATACTACTAGCAATAACACCTGAGAATACTAGTGAACCAGCTGGGTTCGCAATAGTGAGGAAATTGTACAAAGCCCCAAAATTCTTTAAGCCAAACAATTCGGAAGCAGCAGCTGGCACGATAGCCCAATGAGCCCCATAACCGAGCCCTACCAGAAGAGTACCAATGTACATAGCCCCTGGCCATCCCATGGCAAAGAAGAAATGCCCGAAAGCCATTACAACTTGGGCAACAGCCATGGCTGCATGTCTTGGGTAGGCATGATCTCTGTAAGTCAATAGGACAAGCTTGCATGAGAAAAATATTCATTGAAACGAAGGACATTATGATGTTCAGTTAATATTGTCAAAATATGTAAGAAGTGAATGTTATGTACCTCACAATTATTTCAGAAAAGTATCCACCCCCAACACGACCGAGGAAGTTCCATATGCTGATCATGGAAACAAATACATGTGTGTTATCATATCCTAAAGATTGGCTCATCTGGCCCAAGTTATCAATCACGGTTAAACCAGATCCAGAACCAAAAAGTAGTGAGAAGAATATAATCCAAAAGTCTGCCTTTATCAAAGCCTGCATTAGGGTAAAGTCCTCCCCTCTATGAGGGGTCCGTCTTCTTTTGACCCTCACTGCTCCTTCTGCAGCTGCTTGGGCTAGTTTTGCTTGCAGTTGGGCAATTCTTTTTTGCCTTTCTAATGCTGGAAGCAAGTCTACATCCTTAGGTTTCTCATCTTCAACCTCACTAAATATAATTTCCTGATCATGTCCAGATACTCCAGGATCTTGTTTTTGTGACTCAGATAAAAGAGCCTCTTCTGATGGTACTCTAGTTTCTTGCGAGAAAGTCAATGAGATGGGAATCACCACAGGAATAAGCAATAGAACGAACAAAATCCCTGTGAAGATTGTAGTGACTGTGTGGCTAACATCAATGAGGTCTTGAACAAGCATGACGCCCATCAGGTAAGAAGCCAAAATGAGGCAAATGCTATAAATTAATGAAAAACTGAATCCATCAGATGGTCTGACTTGCCTGTGGCCGCCAACAGGCCTAATTATAAACATGAGGGCGATAGCCACCATTGCCGGTCCCACAGCAATCATAAATATAAGTGAAGCATGATCAGGGGAATGGATCAGTGCATATATTTGAGTCATAATTGCACCACCCAACCCAGCAAATCCCTTAAGTATTCCCACCACAGGGCCACGGCTTTTAGGGAAATTTTGCACACCTGAGACAAGTGCGGCTGTATTAAAGTAGGTTTCTCCATTTGTTCCTATAAATATAAGAAGGCACATCTGCAGAGAAATAGCTGAAATGAGTCAATTCTTGGACAAATTAGAAGTATACGCCGAAACATCATAGCTGGCAGTAAACAAGCGATTTTGATCCATCAAAACATAATAGTAGTAAATAATATCTTCTGGAGAATGACCAGACGTACTGCAAGAAGGGCATTCAATTCCACAATAGTTAACAAGCATTTTTCTTCCCCATGCACACTAGGAAAACGGTAAAAATCGGGTTTAATGCTGACAAATTCTAATAGGAAATGATAGATGATGGGATTTCATGCTGACAAACTCAAGAAGAGAAGGCAAGTTGATAATTATTAGGTTCACAAGTAAGACCCCTTGCTCTTCAGCCTTAATCCGGAGTGGTTTAATTATATTAGAAGTTCTTCAAACTAGAAATATCAGATCCATGAAGGGTATGTAGATAGAGCAACAGGTTCTTCGCGTCTACCTGAGTTCAAATTGAATACATAATTATGAATGGATTACTGTAACTAGTCCATTGATCACATTGCAAAATTCAGAAGCACCACAACCAAATTTGACTAAAACTATTGATAGTACTCTAAAAGCAAATTAGTAGTTCAGATATCAATTAGACTTATAAACCCCTGAATCCCAATGTAGACGATAAATCAATAACCTCATTGGCCTAAAACTGTAAGAACTCAGTACCGCTAGTTGATTCAATAATAAATCAGAGCATTTGTAATAGATTTCAATTAAAAATTATACACAAAGAAAGTCGAAAGATTTGAAATCAGCAATAAAGAAATTGGGTAAGAGATAGGTACTCACAACCCATAAAGGAAGAGTAGGAGATCGGCCGGTGACGATGAGCCAAACCCAGCCATAACCAATGAAGTTCTGAACAGCACCCACAAGAAGAGCAGCCCATAAAGGCAAGATTTCGGATAAAGTCCCAGCCAGAAATCCAACACTATCGCCCAAGTCCTTAGCGACACCCAATCTGGCAATTTGCCTCTGATTATAATTCAAAGAGCTCTTAATGATGGGAGAAATACTGCCGAATAAATACCCAATGCCAGCAAAACTCTGAATCCACATTGCAGCTACGAATACAAGCCATCTGTTATTGAAGAACAAACTAAATCTCTCTTTCAAACGAACCATTGTTAGATCAAAATTGCCTTGAGAATTCAGATTCTAAATCTTTCTTGGGGGAAGTCAAAGAACCTGTCTGTCTATCTTGATTAGAAAAAATTACTCCATATATATTTTGATTCAATGATGTTTTGTTTTAGGTAGTGTATGATATAAATAAATAAACAAACGGACCAACTTGATCAAGAGAAAAGGGTCGCCCATAAAATAAAAGCCAAATATAGCACGGAAGACAATATTGAAACGTCACTCATTTTTTATCATTTTGGTGACCTTTCAAAAATAATTACGTACATAAACAGTTTCCAGTGTTGGAGAAACAAACAAAACACACAGAGCACTATTGCATTGGCAAGACTAGTGGTGACGGCGGCCGGTGGATTTTGTTGCCTTCTTAAGAATGTCTGTTTCACCAACAGATATACTTTGCAAAACTTTGGGCAACTGTTTCACGAAATTACTTACCTATAATATTAATAAACTTTTCTCCTTTTAACCTCGCCTTCTCGTCACCTAATTTCATTTTGGTTTAAACATAGAAAGTGGGTTACTATTAATGTAATTGGTTTACGTCATTTATTTTTTTTCTTTAAACAGTCGCAGATATAAAATGGGGCAATTTATCTGATACGAGCCTAGGCATAAGCCTCAAGGTGTTGGGAGCTAAGTACATTTGATTCGAGCTTAGGTGTACGCCTTCAAGTGTTGGAGTAAGCATGGAAGATCTTAAATTTTAGAAATTATATTAATTAATATAATAAATAACACAAAAACTTTAAGAAAATATAAAATAAGTCTTAATACACATAGAATTGCTTCATCTTAAAGCATTAGTCAAAATTAAGTAATTAACTAAAAAAACAATCAAAATTATTCATCTAAAAAAAACTATTAATTTTTATTATATTAAAGTTATTAAATTTTTAGTCTGTAGCGTAAATACCACCCAACTTAACTGAATATCATAGAATGTGACTAAACAAAAATTAACTGACATTGCATATATAACTTATATGTGGAGTCTACTTCCAAGGCAAATAGAAAGTTATATTTGCTTGCCGTTAAGGGACATGTTTATTAGAGAGTCATAATTCTGCTTCCTTTACAAAATTGATGTTTGATTTTAAAAAAATGGTATATCTCAATTTGTAATAATCAACTTTTGTTGTTTACCAAAAAAACAAGGTTCAAGTGGATCCAATGCATTTTTTTCATTATAGATTACCAAAAAAATGTTAAAAAGCGTACTAAGGAATGATTAATTGGAAGAAGGCCACTTTGACCACTTGCAGCCGACAGGCTCTAGAGGAACAAACTTATTTATTCGAATTCGATGCCAATATTAGCATGTGAGATTGATGATTAGCCACAGGCCACAGCTATCCACTTGGATCCAACCTGTCCCACGCACACTTTGGACTCCTTAATTATACTTTATTTTAGCTAAAAGCCGAATGGTCTAGTGAACTAAACAGATAATTTCTCAAATGAGATTTTCTTATGTTCAAAATCTTTTGCGCATGTCTTGTTGATCGAGTTTTGTTTAGTACAATTTATCTCTTTTTTGTGATTTACGGATATTACATTAAAGTGAAATTTATCTCTCTTATGTAGTTTGTAGGTTAAAAACAGAATGCACACCCCAAAAGTAACGATAATTGTAGTCCAATTTCCTTTGACCAAAATAAACAAAAGAATAAAGACTCATTTTCTGAATAATTATAATTTAAAAATCAACCGTGAAAATACATTTTGAATATGTCATTTTAGATAATATCAAGCTGACAAAATACGTGTTGTACCATAAAATGAGTGTTGCTTGTTTTCCTGAAATCGTGCAATAAAAGTGTTTCTAGATGTGTCAAGCCTGATTCGTTTTTTCTATAATTATGTTCTTTACTTTTAAGCGATTAGCATCAAAGTTAAATTAATAATTCCAGGAGAAAATGATGCATTGATTTGATGGCAAAGTCTCATCACTCCGTCAAACTATTATTCTTGAAAAATCAACGTATACACAAATTCAGAAATGTCATTGTTTGAAACATTAAATACATGGAACTTATTAAAACAAATTCTTTACGGCTTCACTTACTTTCAATTTTACAACTTATGAATACTTGCACTCATGATCCATGAATGTTAGTGGTCAGCCACGACTTGGGAGCTTACAGTTTTAATTCTGCATATCACTTAAAAATAATGTTTACAAAATCAAATCATTTAAAAAGTAATTAAACAGTACATAAGGTTAATATACTCTTTTCCCACATTTTCCTACCTGTCATTCTTCAATGTTACGTTTATATTATGTTTTTATCTGCCTTCAGCTGTTACACAAAAAAAGAAAAAATAAATAAAATACGGCCACCTTACCAACGAGATTCACAAGATCATTTCTTTAGCTTATTAAATTTGTTATCAAATTTTAATACTTATGTGCGGCTTTGTGCGTGTATATATATATATATATATATATATATATAATTAAAAAAATTGGGTCCTTAGCTGGATAGGATAAGACTGCCATATTCTATATTTTGGGTCCTTGTCAGTTTGATTGGAATTTGTTTTTAATTCGAGAAAAAAAGTTGATTTGATTTAAATTGGAAATACGTTGAATAGTAATGAATAATTGTATGTGGACATTTATTGAAATATTGAAAGCGTTGGATATATCTCAGCAGATACTTCATCGAGTTCATTAGAATTACTAAGCTCGATAGTTTCTTCTAGATATTTTAAATGTTTTTTACATGTTATAATTAAAATATATTGTAAAATTTTAAATGATATCTTGAATCTTTGTTTTTTATTTTTTTAAATAACATATCTTGAGATTTCTGTACCCAAGCAATTTTTCAACCTCAGAATAAAAAAGACAATATAAAAATTTTACTCGTAAATCATTTTTTTCACGGACTTCAAGATATAATTAATTTTTTATTTGGATTATGGGAAGAAAGACTGGTACGTGGTTGATATTGCAAAATAGATAAAAACAAAAAGAACAACGCTTCTTTATTAGGATTTTTATCCATCAAATTCATATTGAATTTAAGTAAATGCAAAAGGAATACAATTTTATTCGGTGAACCAATAAACTTTTTTAGCTCCGATGAAAATCGATAAAATTTATAGGTGTGAAATTGATGTCAATAATGTTGGTGTTTGGTTTTGTGGATTACTAAAAAGATGGTGAAATTGAAGTAGTTGATAGAGTTGAAGATGAAGATGGAGGAAAAAAGGATGCTTCAATGGAGAAGAAACTTATTGGGGAGGACAATAAAATGAAGAGAAAAAAATTAAAAGTTTTATGGGCCAATAGAAAAATTCATATAGTTTAATAAAAGTTAATAAATTAAGGAAATAATATTTAAAATATAATTATATATTGATCTATAAAAAAATGACATGTGTATGATTTTATAATTTTTTTTTTCTTTTTTAACTCCTTCACACGCGGTTAGGTGAGTGAACTAACTCTCTTTGCCACATCCTCCCTTAGGGTTGCATTTAATTCACTTCAAAAATATTAAGGGGGTATTTAAACACCCATATAGTTTAAGTGCTGAAGTAAGTTATCCGATCAAGTTTAGGGGTTTTTTTTATATGTTTTCTCATTTATATGAGATATTCTATGATTAATTTTACTATCTAATAGACTTTTGAGAGCATATGCATTTTATTTTATTTTACATTTTGAATTGATTAAATCTAATTAGAATATTTTATCATGTGTTTAGGTGCTCAATTGGAACAAACAACTGACATGTTTAAGACGTTGGCTATTTATTAAGCTTAAAGGTAGGTGTCAAATTGACAAGTTGCATACTTGCATTGAGTTTGAAAATGTTAAAATGTGCGGATCATTGACCCGTCTAAATATTATTTTAATTGAATTAAGCTGGACAGAGAAATAAACTAAAAATCATATTATAATCCAACCCAATAAAAATCATATTATAATCCAACCCAAACAATTATTGTCAAAATTTAAATTCAAACTTTGATTGTACATAGTATAACATTTCTTCTCCTTATATTATCACTACTAGATAATGTGGCCCATGCAATAATATAAATGGTATGTTTTGGGGCTAATAACCAAGTTTTTGAAGCGATTGTTTGCGTGGATAAAGAAATAAGTTTTTTTATCACAAATCTGTACTTTCTTTGACGTTATTTAAGGCATAATAAGACTACCCACATACAACATTTTTGAAATATTTTATGTTGTCAATTATCATGATTTATAGTATTTTTACGATAGATTCACTTCAAGAATCAGTGAAATTTTTTGTATTTTTCTCAAAACATATTTTATATTATCAATTATCATGATTTATAGTATTTGTACGCAATTTTTAAATATAAAAAAAATAAAAAATAAGACAAATAAATTAAAATGGACCCAATATATGTTATTTTTGTTGTTTCAATTTATGTGACACAAATGAAATTTGAAGAGTCATCCAAATTTTCATATTTTTTTAAAAAAATGTTTTAAGTTATTAATTATTGTGATTTATGATATTTTTATGTAACTTTCAAATAACGTACATTACTGGTCATTTTGTCCTAATTTATGTGATATGGATAAAATTACAAAATTAACCCTTTTAAAATGTCTTTCAGATATTTTAAGTTGTTAATTATTATTATTTATAATACTTTTTGGTAATTTTAAAATGATATGTGTTATTTTTTCTGTCCCAATATATGTGAGCCTGATAGAATTCTGAGAGTCAACGTATTGTATTATATAGCTTTTAAATATTTTAAATTGGTCATTATTGTAATTTTTAATGTTTTTTAAGTCATTTGTAAATGATATATGTTGCTTCCTTGATTGGGACTTTTCCATTTGTGACACATATATATAGATATTTGGTGCACATGCCAGCACGGGCCCAATAAATATTAATTTTTTTTGTTTTAATTTATGTGATATAAATGGAATTTAAAGATCAGTCGATTTTTTATATGTTTTCTTAAAAATATATTTGAAGTTATTAAATTGTTGTGATTTATAGTATTTTTGCGTTAGTTTTGAATAATATATGTTACTCATGTTTCAATTCACGTGAATAATCATAAATATTTTCAGTTGTTAATTTATTGTGAATTTTAGAAATTTTGACGTTATTTTCAAATAGTACATGTTA